AGTAAGTAGTTGCATCAAGTGGTATATATCATACTAGTTTGTGTGGTGTATGCTAGACATTGAACCTGATTGATGATTTGATAACTAGCATGCATAGGATACATGGTAGCTAGATTTTGATTTTATCAAGTAGTACTAGAAACATGCCTATAATGTTGATCTCACGGGGTTCCTAGTGTCTTTGATGTCTAGCCAACCAAGGTGCTAAGGATGGAAATCAAATGGCAAATCCATATTTCCAAGTGGTATACATGCTACAAAGGTTCATTCTATACACCTTAACATCATTTGGTAGCATTGCCTCTCCCACAATTCTTATCCAATATATGTGCAAGCTTTAACCCAAACACACTAGCACATATGTAGGGGGAGCTAATACTACCAAGTCAGGTTTGTGAAACTTGTCAAAATCTTTTCAAGTGGTCAAAATGCTTGGGCAAGCAACAGAAATCCAAACCAAGTTAATAGCTTGCACTTGTGTAAGGTATAATTTGGAATTAAAACTTTAATTCATATCTTTGTAAAGGTTGTCATCAATTATGAAAAATGAGAGATTGAAAGCCCTATATTTGGTTTTGGTAATTGAGACAACTAGTGGACTGACATCTACTCTAGTGCTATGTATGAGATAGGTTAGGTCCACAACAAGGTTGAGTAAGAATGACAAACATGGAGATGGATGATGGTGCCAAATGGAGATCAAGTGGTCAACTCTTGGAAAAGAAGAAAGAGAAAAACAAAATGCAAGGGCTCAAGGCAAAGGTATAAGCTAGGGCATTTTGTTTTGCCGGTCAAGACACGATAGAGTGTGTGATCGAATTTAGAATAGATAGCTATACTATTAAGAGGGGAACTCGAAGTTCAAAATGGTTATCTAAGTGCCACTAGGTGAATTGACAGGCTTCGAACTATAATCGGACGTGGAGGATTCGGACCATCAATGTGTTGTGTTGTTGGGTGCCAATGGTCATATTCAAACGACTAGTACACTTGGCAGCCTGGGAGGTCATCGGACCCTTGGGCGATGGTTCGACGCTAGGGTGTTGGGCGGTCTGATGGTTATGTTTTCTACATAGTGAGCAACTAACGGCTAGTGGAGCTCATGGGGGCTTATAAATAGATGTTGGTCGGCATTTGGCCGGCCCTCTTGAAACTTTGACATATCATACATCCTTGTGAGCCTAAGCAAACATCTCCACTCATCTCCTTGGCTATTGCTTGATCCTAAGTGAAATTGAGAGTGATTCTAGTGCATTTGCATTGAGTTGAGGCATCTTGTGGCACTAGTAATCGAGTCGAGTTGTGGGATTCTTGTTACTCTTTGGGGTTGCCACCACCTAGACGGCTTGGAGGCAGCAGAGGATCATTGAGCGGCTTTGGTGATTGTTGTCGGCTCCGATCAAGTGATTTGTAAGGGGCTCCTGTGGTCATCCTCACGGGAGATCGTGAAGAGCAACACTAGTGGAATCGTGGCTAGTTGGAGTGTGCCTTTTGAGTGGTTCTTGCGGCACCCCAAGTCTTGGGTTTGGCGTGTGAGGTCAATTAGCACGCGAACCATCAAGTGGGGACTCACCACAACGAGGACGTAGGTTGCCGGCAAGCAACCGAATCTCGGGGATGTATCTTGTGTCATCACTTGCCCCGTGTGGTTTTCTCACTATCTCTCTTGTGCTTACTTTCATACTTGTTTGTGTGTTCGTTGTGTGCCTTGAGCTAGAGTAGTGATCAAAAGTAGTTGTAATTAGTTATAGTTGCTTTTGTTAGTAGCTCTAACTAGTTGTAGCTCTTTAGCTTTGTTAGTAGCTTGCTTGCTTTGTGTGACATAGACTAGAGATCAAGCTACTAGACTTGTGTAGGAAGGCCTGCATTTGGTGAATTAGAGTTAGAGCAAGTAGTCGCTATTAGAGCCACTTATTGTACTAATCAACTTGCTCTAGTGATTGTGCTTTTGTAGAGAAAATCTTCATAGGATATCCCCCCTCTAGTTATGTAGATCATATCAACCAACAGGCCATTTGGTATTTGCACACAATAATATATGGGCATCATCGTTTATGCACATGAGCCCAAAACATATTAATTAATTAATGCAGGCCTTTCATCATGCCCTGACTACTTGCTATATGGCTTGCCTGTTCATAGCGTAACATAATGCTTGCTTTCTCTATTGAGTGCCCATTACTGAACTTTGTAAGTCAACTTACTCCAATTTTCAGAGCTATCAAGGCTCTTGTTCTGCGTATACTCTCTTCAGAACATTGCCTAGCTGTGCTACAACTAATCAAGATTGTACTGTGTAATTCTCAAAAAAAAAAAGATTGAGGCAAACAGCACATGTTTGCCTAGTGAAACCAGTTATTGATCCAAAGGTCTGAAAGTTACAGCTAACTTTTGAAATAGTTAAGGCCAAAATTAACTTGCAAAACGCATGAGGGGCATAACTGTATGGTCTATCTTATATATAAATCATATAATGTGAAACATTTATAATGCCTCAGCACAAATTCTAAAGTGATCTGCAAAGAAATAATGAGTTCCAAAATCTAACAGATGGAAACCATCCAGTCCTGACTAAATCAGTTTAGTAAATGGAGCATGGCATTCCAGTACACAGAAAGAGATATATTAAAAAACTGAAAATGTTGAGCATGTTGTCAAGTACAAGCAAAAAGACACAAAGTTTCCTCAAATTTGAGAAAAAGGACAAAAAAAAAGTTTAGGTTATCATCAAGCAAAGTAAAACTGCAACAATAAGTGTTATGGGTGCTATATATCAGAATCCCAGAAAGCAACTGGACCACCTCATAACTCATGAACAGAGGCAGTGAGGCTTTAAATCATTTTTCAACACAGGTCTTCTGCATTGAAAGGAGCATATAAGATGCAGAAACTTTTACTAAGCTAGAATAACCATCTATATTCTAATGACTCTTTTTAAAATTAGTCAAGACACTGAATAGCTAACAATCAAAATAATAAGAATTGTTATTACGTAGTACAAGCTCCGTTGCAGGCAATTAGCTGTGTAGAAATGACTTCCAGGAATCTAGTTGCAGACACGTATTTTTTTTCTGGAATACGCAGGAGAGCTGCGTATCATTGCATTAAGAAAGGGGATAAAAGGCTTATATAGCCATACAACAGCACACACACAGCAGCGCCTGTTGAGGGAGGTCGTCTTTTTTACAGTTTTAACTGGCGCGTATGTAATCTAGAGACGGTGTGTGTTGCAGACACGTATTAGAGCAGAGTTCAGAGATCTTGTATTTTGTATTACTGCAGAGTTCAGAGGTCTTAGTTCAGAGTTCAGAGATCTTATCTTTTGTATTAAAGCAGAGTTCAGAGGTCTTCATTTTTGTATTACAGCAGAGTTCAAAGTTTGAGTAACACAACAAAGAAAGAAGACTTAATATATGGTTGAAAACCAAGTCAGATCTTCTTTTGACCCCGGCTGAAGCACTCTTTTTCCTCTCTTTTCTCTTTTAAATAGTACTTGTATCTGCTTTATATTTTTCTCTCGCCTAATAAAAATCGTGGCAAATCTCTTGCCGTCCTTTAAAAAAAAACAAGTCAGATCTGGATGCATGCCTGGTAGATCTGGATGCATGCCTGGTTTCAGCTCTGGTATCTCTACCTCTGTGTCACCTTGATTTGTATATTTATTTGATAGCGTTTCCGTTGCAAAGCTTGCAAAGTCACCATGTCTGCATCCTTCATATATAGTACCTTGTTCCACACTTGCGCTTATGACCTGGGGAACGGACGAGCTGGGGAATTGAGTGGGTTGGGCTTGGGATCCCACGACAGGAATCTTCCGCGCACGTGGGAAGGTAACCTCTGGCATGTGGGATGGGATCGCACGTGTGGGTGCCATCGCGAGCGAATTCGGCAGATGGCGAGCGACGCTGGTTTGCTTTCTAAGCCGACCAAAAATTCAGGGATAGCCACTTGTCATTTTACACACCTGTCCGAGCTTAATTTTTGTTGTACAAATTCTAAAATAACCTACAAGGCAAGAATACCACATCTCTTAACAAGTCCAATTGAAAATTGGATACCCATAAGTAAGAGTGACATCAACACATACACACCTGCGCTGAGCAGACTGCATGAGCATTACAAATGCACATGGACCTGAATTTGGACCCATTTGGAAAGAATAAAAAACAATCAGGAAATAGGTTCTCCGGTAAATCTATGAAAGGAAAAATGAGGCTCATGTCTAGAGGTTACAACAAACTCACCAGATGAAGCACTAACCGGCAATCGCTTAATAAATCGACTTATGCGGGATGTGGGAGATGAGGTACCAGTCCTCATTTTCTCTGTTGTACCGCTTCGCCAGATCGGGGCAAGCATTGATCTCCAATCGTAGCAGAGAGGTTAGGCCTTTTATGCCCTCCGGCAAGGATTTGATTCCTGGACAATTTCATGATCACGAGGCTTTGTAGGGAAGTGAGGCCGCACATGGATTGGGGAAGACAAGTCAGCCTCGGCAACCTATGGTCTGTTCGCTTGTCGTAAACGATTATAAATTTCTAGCCAGAACAGTATTTTTCTCTCACACCAAATCGGCCAACAGTAATAATCTACGATCGTATACGATCGTTTCAGCCCCAGCCGAACAGGCTGCTAGTAATTTTGAGTGTGCGTGGAGAGTAGAGCTGTCCAAGCATTCGGGCAGTTGGTAAAATGCATGGCAAAAACTTATCTTGAGCACCTGGAGGGAGGTGAGCTGACCCATTGATTGGGGAAGGCAGCTAAGGCTATAGCAGTTCTCGATGGTCAACTCTTGCAGAGACTGGAGTTCCCCTAGTGACTCAGGCAACACACAAATACCAGAGCAATGTGTCACCACAAGAGACTGGAGGGATGTGAGGCCTCCCAAGCTCTCTGGCAGCTCAGTTAGCATATCAGAGAGCTAATATGGAACGATTGAAGTGCCGTCATGTGTTGCAGCAGCTCCCACCCACGTCCAGATCCTAATCCTGTCATCCCATCTAGTTCAAGCTTCTCCAGGTGGCTAAAACTGGCGGAAGAAGAGGACCCTTGGCATTGGCCAGGCGACTGCAGCAGTTGCTCGCTAGCGACAAAGGCACCTGAGGCATGACCTTCAACTTAGGACAATAAATTATAGACAATTCTGATACACAATTACCAACTCGGACTTGTCCCAAGTGAGTTGTGCTACTGCTGCATTGCCCCCTCTCTTCTCCATCAGCCATGGTCTTCTCTGCTACCATCCACACTGCTCCCAAACTAGGCAGGCTACTCATTACTAACTTCACCAGCGAAGGAAATGGGCCTCCGCTTATACTCTCAAGAGAAGGCATGTCCCACATCCCAAGCTCCTCCAAAAAAGGCAGCCCAGCCAGTCCACGTAGATGCTTCGAGTTTGGAAAATCTCGTAGTTCCATCACCCTTAGAAATGGAAAGTGAGAAAGCCCCTGGACTCCGCCACCAACTTGATTCTGCATCCACTGTGCGTATCTCCTACCTGAATACCCACAGATTTCCAGCTCTTTAATCCCAGCAGGCGGTTCCAGACCATCAAGTACAGCCGGCCTCAACTCAGTGTTCACCTCACCAACATCATGCGCCATCCCCTGTAGGCTCAACCTCTGTAAGTTTGTCTTCTGTTTCAAGCATGCCCTATGTGCATCATCTGGATCCATCACATGTTCAATACCTCTAATAGTTAGATACTTATTATTCCTACTTATATTTGCAAGCTCTGAGATTTTGGCAAACTTTTCACTTTCACCCACAACAAAGAAGTCCAACTTTTGTATTCGACTGAGCTGTCCAATGCTTACAGGCATCCTTCCCAATTTTTTACAATTCTTTATGTTCAAAACATGAAGCTTATCCAAGTTGCCAATGCCTTCAGGCAATTCTACCAGCTCTTGACAGAAGCGAAGGTCCAAACACTCCAGATTTCTGAGTTCGGTGATACTTGATGGCAACCTCTCAATTTTGGTGTTACCAAGTCTCAGTACTCTTAATTTTTCGTTTCTACCAATAGAGTTTGGCAACACTGTAAGCATACGGCAATTGGAAAGATCAATGCTTAAAATCATTTGACAATGACCAATAGAATCTGGTAAAAAATTCAAACGTTCACAACATGATAGGTTTAGTGTTCTTAACTTCTGCAGCTTGCCAATAGAGTTTGGTAACATTGTGAGCTCCATGCAGTCACAAAGATCAATGATTGAAATCATTTGACAATCACCAATTGAATCTGGTAAACATTCTAAACTATTACACCATGATGACTGGACCTGTGGGGGGAAAGCCACCCCTCGGGCATTGCATTAAGAAGAAGAACCTTCTCACGCAGGTCCAGAAAACCCTCGAACCCCTGCCCCACCCATACACAGCGACACCGTACCCCTGTGAGAACAGGGCCGTTCCTTAGACCTGTGCTTTGACGTGGGACAGACGAGGGGATTTTTTTAACCCCAGTCTGAAATTCGCTTCCACGGGGAGTCGAACTCAGGACCTGAGGAGTGCCACGGGGACGCTCTAACTAGTTGGACTAGAGGCCCTTTGGCTATTACACCATGATAGGTTCAGCGTTCTTAACTTCTGCAGCTTACCAATAGAGTTTGGCAACGTTGTGAGCTTCCTGCAAGCGCAAAGATCGATGCTTGAAATCATATGGCAGTCACCGATTGAATCTGGTAAACACTTTAGACTTTTACAACCCGACAAATTTAGTGTCCTCAGCTTTTGTAGCTTACCAATTGATTTTGGTAACTTGAGAAATTTATCACAATTTGTTACATGGAGCGCTTGCAGGCTCCAAACATCTGAAATGACCTCAGGAAGTGCTTCCAGTTCCCATGAATATGAAATGCTAAGATACCTAAGATATTTTATTTGCAGTATGGTGGTGTGTATTGAGTCTAAAATGGTACCTTCCACCATGATACTGCGCAAGTGTCTTGCATTCTTCAATTCTTTGCCAAATATTGAATCATCACCAGCAGCAACATAAACAGCACGTGCCTTTACAAACAAATTTTTGGGTAGAAGAATTCTTGGTTCATCAGTCAAAGAAAAGTATCTATAGTTATTCGTTGATTTGGTAGCCTCCATTGGCACAACAGTAGAAATTTCATCACTTTCACCAAGAAAAAAAATTCATCACCTAAGATGCATCGAGCAAGATCATGAACCAAATCGTGCATCCTACATGTCAGTCTCCCACCTTTTTCCTCCAGGTTTAAGAAAGACATTTGCACAAGAGAATTGAAATGCTTGTGGCCAACATACTCCAAGTAATCCACACCATCTTCCAAAGTGATCAGATCATGAGCAATCCATTGATCAATCAATTGTTCTTTATCAATCTGATGACCTTTGGGAAACACTGAACATATTGTGAAGCACTGTTTCAAATGAGAAGGCAAATGAAGATAGCTCAGCCTCAAGCATGAAAATACTCTATGTTCTTCACCCTCAACATCTAATAAGCTATTGTTTCTCATGGCCTCCCACTCTTCTATCAGTTCCTTGTCACGGAGTACACCTGCTAGAACTTTAATTGCGAGTGGTACCCCACCACATTTTCCCACAATCTCTTTTCCAACCTTAAGAAATTCAGGGTCCAAACTATTTTCGGCCATTCCATAACTTTCTGTGAATAGTTGCCAACTGCTAGCCTCAGATAATAATGACAACTCAAATGCACATGTTGATCCTAGTATTTCTGCAACTTTACTACTACGAGTAGTCAGTAAAATCCTGCTTCCAGGTGCACCAATATTGATCAGAAATTCCCAGAAATTTTCCCACTGAAATCGGGACTCGGTCCAAACATCATCCAGTACAAGAAGAAACCTCTTTCCAATTAACTTGTCTGAGATTGTTTTTCTCATATGTGGCACACCATGCTGTCCAGGATTATTGTCAGCAAAAGCTTCAAACATTTTTTTTACTAGCTTGTCGACATCAAATTCTTTTGACACGTGAACCCATAGCGTAGAGTCAAAATTTTTCTTAATGTTACCATCATTAAAAATCAGTTTAGCCAAAGTAGTTTTCCCAGACCCACCAAGCCCGATGATGGAAATTATCTTGAGTTTCAAGGGATCATCAGTCTCTTCAAGCTTGGATATTATAAGTTTCTTATCTTCATCTCTTCCGACTACTGATGCCTCATCAATGTCAGGCCATGATGACATCTCCCCAGTTCTCATCTTTGTTTGCCGAACAGGAGGATTCACTGATATACTATTCGTTATTGCATTATAGTATGTTCTTTGCTTCACAATTGCAGCAAGTATCTTTTTGATTTTCTTGATCTTGCTGGCTGCCTTACATTGTGAAATAAATGATTTTGGTTTTGTGCACATATATTTGGACATAATACTACCATCAGCAGCAGCGTCATGTTTCTCAGCCTTCAGCTGGAACTCATCAACAACATCATCAATAGCATAAGCAATATCTTTCAACCTTTTGAGCCATTTAAATTATGTATCAAGCCACATAGCTTCATATCTTGTTTCCAACCAACTGTTGATCTCCTCAACTTGATCCCTGAGCTCCTCGAGATCTCTTTTCACACCCACAACGTAGCTGTACTCTTTGATTAACAGTGGTGCTAATTTGTTGGCCACAACCGTCAATGTTGTAGATATCACAGCAGATATTGCAGCAGTCTCCATACCGAGTGTAGTTTTGAAAACCTCTCCTTCACCAAAATTTCCTACAAATTGCATTGTTAAATTAGAAGCTACTCTCAACAAAGTAAAAGAAAAAAGGGATTTTTTTAAAAAAAAAAAAGTATGCTAAGATATGGGTTTTACAGCATACAATTCATTCAGTCATGTTTCTTTATATGTCTGGTGCCATCATTTATGGTTAGTGCGGATATTGATTTTATAGATGTGCGTGAAACAGTGGTTGATGATATATCTAACCTAGAAAAACAGGTGTAGCAGCAGTAGCTCTTTAGCCTTTTGTCTTTGGGTCGTTGAAGTGTTTCTTCTCAAACAAACTTTACTAGCCTTCTTGCTGCTTACATCATAGGCAGCAAAAATAAGCACAATATATGAGGAATCAGAGGTTAAAGGCTATGACATATAGTGCATATATGAAAGCAAACTAAATGGCTAGTTAGTGACTGGACGATGAACATACCATAGCCTCGAGCCCAGAAGAAGCAAAAGCAATCACATATGGTACTAATGATGTATGACTCGTGAGTTTCCGGCCTTCAGTACCTGACAATTGGCAGAACAATCACCGATTTTGTTTGCATAATTACATTCAAAGCGGAAATTCTAGAAGTACATTGTTGGAGAAGTTATGAATGAACATCACTGGTGCAAACAAAAAGAATAATGGAACAGACGACTTTTGTCCATGGTTAAAAAAAGGAAATACATGGAGCTCAGGTCAGCTGTAATGATTTGTCACTTCAGTTAAGTACCTGACAGTCAAATGCCAAGTTATTGTCCAAAAGATTACCATTCAAAGCAGAAAGCGCAGAAGACAGTACAAATGGACGAAAGTAGCAGAAGCGAAGAACAAAACAATACGGTATGCAAAATATGCAAATCAGAGCTTTCTGGAGCCTAATTCTATTGTTTTTACCCGTGCCATCTCCAAATGTGTCACAACAGAGCATCCAGAATCTGGGTTCCACAATGCGGGCTTGAGCCTAGATTTAGATTGCCAGAGATGCAAGAGCACTTGTGAGCTCCAACTAACTTGTGATGCCCCTAGTGAACTAAATCAGCTGCACAAAGGGAAGCAACCAGGACACAAGGAGTAATGCAGACTTGGGGTGTTGAACTGCTTCCTTGCAAATAAACTCTATTAGCCCGCTTATGGATGCAAATGCCTCCCTTGTGTGCACTCCATTCGTGATTAGGAAGCAAATTAAGATGTTCAAGCTTATTCATGTTAAAAAAAAATTATAACAGATTCATGTTACAAATTACCTGCTTCGCACTGACATACTATAGCCAGTGTATTAAGGCCAGTATAACTTTTAAAGGTTCTAGGTCTTGTAATGTGTTTCACTGCAAATATGTTTGTTTGCTGCATTGGGTGAGTCTTCGTCAATTTTAGAAAACAGTCCCCCTTGCAGTTTAGATAGTGGCCGCTCAGCTGGAAACGCGTATCCAGAGTGTACTAATTAATATTCAACATCTGCAACTTAAAATAGTTCATGCAAATGCAATGCGGGGGAAATTAAAAGGCAGAAGAAGGAAATTTGGGTAATAGAAGAACCAGGAAAATTCAAGAGAAATAAAACCTAAATATTCCACAGAAACTATAAAAGAAAAAGAAACGATGAAATTCTGACAGCTGTCACCTGTGGGCTGCGGCACATTTCGCCGAACGGATGGCGCGCGGTTGCTTCTATCGCCGCGTCAACCAATTTGCTGACCACCAGTTCGCCGCTGCCTGCAACCCCGGCCGCCTCTCATTTAGTGCTCGCCACTGGCATGCGGCGTGGATCAATTAGCCAGGCAGTGCCCGGGCCCTCTCAGGCAGACCCACCCGTGACAGTCCAGAGAAGAATATCGGCGGAAGAGAGCGGCGGCGCTCTGTCAGTCAGACTAGCTGTGAACCACAAGAGAACATCTCGTGTGTTTATTTAGCTGATGATGACGAGCAGGCCCATCATTTTAACTGAACACCAGAACAAAATGTTTTTCCACCATCAGAAATCGATCTGAAATCTCACAAGTGAAGGAGAATTAAGGAAAAACACTTGCTTGTTCTCAGGAGTTCAAAATGTACCGAATTTGTTGCGCCGGATGACGCAGGGTTGTGGACTTTGTACAGTCAAATGGTCCGTAGTTCCTGCATGCAACAGTACAGTTCGCCAAATTACTTGTGCATGCATGGTATGAGGTAAAGAAAAGGAACCCTCAAATGGGTTTCCTTGCGTTGCATCATGTAGCCTCAACCTCAATGTTCTTCATCTACTAGCGTTTTTCTGTTAACCTATACACATAACACATATATAATTTGACCTGCAATAATAGTCCAGTACTTCAGACAACACCATATAGTTCACATTGTTTGAGAAATAGAGAAATACTGTGAGATGTCAACATTTTTCTTCTTCCTCATCTCGAACCAGAAGAACTGCGTTGTGCGCAGCAAAGCAGGATATAATTCCATCCCCTGGCCATTGTGGCAGATGATTCATTCCATCGTCAATTTTTTTTTTTAGAATTTTAGGACAAGCCCCCGTCTATTAACCAAGGTCAACAGACTTCCATTGTCAAAATTAGGACTCCTAGTAAAGTTGCAGATTCTCTCGCTAAAAAGGAAGAACAAGCTTCGATTCCTAGCGTACCGTTTGTTTCGGCACCGAAAAACTCCCAAATACCAATGGGGGTATTGAGTATGTTCGTTGGTTGGTTTTTAGCTGATAAGTCCGGCTAGTGCTGGTTTGTTGTGAGAGGAAAATATTATTGGCTGGGTGATAAGTGAAGGCTCCTAGTTGGGTTTTGGTGATTAATGACAACGCGAGATTATTGTGACTAACGTGTATTTTGCAGATGCAATTAAGTTAGGTCATGGTAATGGTAATTGATTCGACAATCATGGTTGTTATGCCCCTACGATGAAAATCGTTTTGGTTTTGAAAGGATGGACAACAAGGTTAAGGATGGACTAGTTCTAAATGTCGTTTAGTGTTGAAGAGACACTTAGAGTAGTTTAGAACTTTGTTTTTCCTTTGGCCGTACTATTAAGGGGTAGGACGGGTAGCTTGACCTAGGTAAGTCTAATGGGTTAAGTGTGATGCACACTTATCAAATATAGCATTGGATAGCTCCTAAGTATCCCTAAGATCAATTGAAGCGAACTTCATTCACATATAATTGCGAGTTGGAAGTGAATGGAGGGTCAAATGTTGACCGGACGCTGGTTCCGGTGTGACCGAACGTTGACGCAGAGTCCGATCAGTTCATTTGATCAAGGTGAAGTCGTCTGGATGCGACCGGACGCTGAGTGAAATATGACCGGACGCTTGGTGCCAGATTCCGATCAACTCCAGTAAGGTTCTAGAGAGGGAGAATCCTGATCGGACGTATCTGGTCAGGTTCCGGCTACTGACCGAACGCTGAGCAGCAAAGTGATCGGACGCTGGGTGCCAGAGTCCGATCAACATCAGTAAGGTTCCAGAAAGCAGTTTTTGTGACTGGACACGTCCGGTCAGTGCTGACCGGACGCTGGTCAGTGTCCGGTCACAACATAACGACTCAGTGGCGGGAAGAACTGATCGGAGCGTCCGGTCAACCTGACCGGAGCGTCCGGTCACCCTGCAGAGACACATAACGGTTCGGTTTGAATGAGAGGTTATAAATACTTCCTCTATTCACTCAAGGGCTCACTTTTGCTCATTTCAACAGCTAAGAAACACCCTTGAGAGTGCCAAAGAGAGCAAGGTCCTAGTAAGGTGATTGAGATTTGAGAATCCAAGAGAGAGGCCTCATTAGTCAAAAGAGAGTAGCAAGTGTGCATCCACCCTTCTTATTAGGCTTGTTGTGGTCAAGTGAGAGTTCTTGCTTGTTACTCTTGGTGACCACCATCACCTAGACGGCTTGGTGGTGATTGGGAGTTTGGTGATCATCCAATAGAGCTTGTAGATGACCCAACTCAAGTTGTGAGCGGTTGTGAGTGATTCACCGCGACGGAGTGTCGAAGAATCAACCCGTAGAGAGCACTTGATCCTTGCGCGGATCAAGGGGAGCTACACCTTGCGTGGCTGCTCCAACGAGGACTAGTGGGAAGTGGCGACTCTCTGATACCTCGGTAAAACATCGTCGCGTTTCTCCTTCTCTCGTTATTTTAAGCATTTACTTTGAGCAATTCAATTCTTGTCTTTACATTCATAGAATTGCCATGCTAGAGTAGGATTGGAACTTAGGTCGTAAAACTTTTGTGCGGTAGAACATTAGAAACACTTTCTAGACACAAGGGGTGAAGTAGGCTAAGTGTAGGGTTTAATTATTGCAAAGAATTTTCGAATTAACCCAATTCACCTCCCTCTTGGGCATCTTAATCCTTTCAATTGGTATCGAAGCCTCGTGCTCACGTATTTAGTCTTAACCGCCTAGAGAAAGATGTCTCACGGGAATAGACATCCTCCTATCTTTGAGGGAGATGATTTTCCTTATTGGAAAATCCACATGAAGACGTATCTAGAAGCTCTTGATGTTGGAATACTTAGAGCCGCCTCACAAGGTTTTCCAAAACCTCGGGAGCCCACGCACCTTCAAGGCGATGAAGTGAACTATAAAAAATAGAATGCAAAGGCTAGAAACACCATCTTTAGAGGCCTTTACAAAGATGTGTTTAACCGGGTGAGGAACCACAAGGACATCCATGCACTATGGTCGAACATTTGTGCGCTCTATGAGGGAACTAAGAGCGAGCGTGAGGAACGCTATCATCTCGTAATGAAAAAGCTTAATTCTTTTGAGATGCTTCCTAAACAGAGTGCTAATGAAATGTACTCACACTTAAATGTTCTTGTAGAGGAAGTCAATGGGCTTGGACTCACTCAGATGCAACCATCCGATGTTGTAAGAATAATCTTGAGTGTCCTCCCCATTAACAAATATGGGCATATTGTGACCGTGCTTCATCAAGGTGATCTTTCCACCGCTACACCAACTCAAATCTTGTAAAAGATCAACGCTCATGAGATATACATGCACATCACACCACAAGATGGCTCATCCTCTACCAAGAAAAAAGACAAAGACTTAGCATTCAAGGCTAGCCAAGAGAAGGGCAAAGCAAGAATTGAGTATGAGAGCTCAAGTGATGATGAAGTTGATGATGCAAGTCTTGCTCTCATGGTGAGAAGAGCCGTCAAGATGCTAAAGAAGCTCAACAAGAATGGCGTCAAGTTTGATGGGAAGAAAAAGAAGTTCTTCACTAGCACTAGAAGGAAGCCAATCTCAGAGATGGATTGCTACAATTGTGGAGAACTTGGTCATCTAGCACATCAATGCACCTAACCCAAGAAAGACAAGTACAAGAATAAGTACAAGGGCAAGAAAGATGACTCAAGTAATGAAGATAAAGATGAGAAGAAGAAAAACAAGCCATACAAGAAGGATGGCAAGAAGAAGGACTTCCACAAGAAGAAGGACTTCCACAAGAACAAGGAGAATGGCAAGGCATACATCATCGATGATTGGCTCACGGATATTGATTCATCTAGTTGATCATCCGATGATGATAGTGACAACGAGAAGGTGGCCGCTATTGTGATTGACTCTTCATCATCTTCATCGACACCACCGTCATCATCCTATACACACCTATGCCTTATGGCCAAGGGTGAACGAAAGGTATCAGATGATGATGATAGTAGTGGTGATGAACATGCTAGCAATGATGATAGTGATAGTGATGATGATGAATTTGAATCACCTTCATATGATGATCTTCTTAAATTACTAAATCAATACACTAAGATCATTAGAAAGACTAGAGCTAAGAATGAAAAGCTTGAAATTAAGAATGACTTTCTTTTAGTTAAATGTGACATAGCGAAAAAGGCTAATGTTGAGCTTAGAGAATCAAATGATGCTATGTCATCCAAACTCAAGGAGCTCAAATCTTCTAAGAAAGAGCTTAAAGAAAAACATGATAAACTTGAGAGGAGACATAATGAGCTCATCACTAGCCATAATATGCTAAAAGAAGAATATACAACTCTCAAGATCAATCATGATAATCTTGTTATCGCTCAAGAATTTTTATCCAATGAGCCACATGATGCTACTAACGATGTTGTTAAGATTGATATAGCTACATCATATGATGATTTAATTGTTGAAAGCATTGAGCAAGGATCTAGTGGCAAAGGCAAGCAAGTGGTTGAAACCGACAACTATGATAAGTATGTCAAGCTCAAGCATGATAATGAAAAGCTCAAGAAAGATCTTGAAGAGCTCAAAACCACCAACACTATAGTGCTAGAAACTTTTGATCATATTGATGATTTGATTCTTGAGAATGAGAAGCTCAAAGAAGAGAACAAGAAGCTCAAGTTGGAAAAAGAACAT